TTATATATAAATATATATAATATATAAATATATATATTTAGCTGCCTTACATTCCATATATATGCCACATACACACACACACACACAAGGTAAAATAAAATTTCAAATAAATGAGTGAAGATATCATAGTTTTGAGAACTATTCTGATTTGCCAGTCTAGCAATATGTCAGGCATTCATTGCAGCAGTTTCTTATTCCATGTCTCTGGATCGCTATAAATGGCTCCTTTCTGAGAATGAAATATTGCTTCTTTTTCTTCCCAAATACATCAGTTCTAACTCATCTTTAGATTCATTCAATCCACTGTTCCAGTTTAGTAGTTTTGAAGTAAGCATCTTGCTATGCACTTTTCTTTGGTCTGGACTCCCTTTCCCATTTTATCACCTCTTTGTTTGGATCCTTAACATATGCTTTCTCTGTCCCAGAGATGTCATAAGTCTGTCATGTTTCTTCTTTCTTGAATTGAGTATTTCATCAAGTACTTGGACTTTGATAGGATCCAAGAGACCAGAAATATCTTTTTCAAATACATAAGAAACAGTTAAGAGGGAAAAAAAATAGTAAAAGATACAATTAATATATTTCATGAGAGAAGCCTTGATACTTTTTTTATTTTTGATAAACCCACTTTAAAAAAGAGGCAGCTGCTGATACAAGGTATCAATGAGGATCGCATGGAAACTAAAATCCTGTAGACAAATCACATCACCTACCTGGTGTCAGGAAAACCTGACGTTTTCCCTTGATGTTGTGGTCTGTGTTACGGGGCACATAGAAAACGTGAGTCTCTGCTCTCGGGGTGTATGTGAAGGTCCTGTTACCTTCTCCGTTAGATATTAAACACAAGAACAAGAAACAAACTAAAAATAGATATACCACAGTGTGGAGTAATTACAGAGGTTTTAAAAAGTGCTGCATATTTTTAAACAGCCTGCCTAATGGATGTCCTAGTAAGCCAGAATGCCCTTAATTGATATTTCTTCTCCATAAATAGTGTAAAACCCATTTATCAAATGAATGTATATTGCACTCCTACTCTGTGCCCAGCTCTATGCTAGGTATACAGTAATGAACAGAGACAAGACTGCCCTCATAAGCATATGTTCTAATGAGACAGGCGGAGAAAGTTCCAAGAGACTCAAAAAGAGAAAGAATCATAAATTGTGATAAGAACCAATAAGACAAAGGATGAAGAGAAAGAAAAAAGAGGGGTTGGTGAGATAAAACCTAGGTGGTAAGAGAAGGCATCTCAAGGAAAGTATCACTTAAGATGAAATATTGCTACTTAAGAGAGGCAACCAGCCAAGAGCCAGAGTGGGAGAGAGTTTTCCAGCAGAGGCAACAGCATGAGCAAAGCGCAGGTCAGGGTGCCTGCTGGTCAGAGAAGGAGTAAAGAAGGCTTGGAGGCCTTGCAGAGCCTGCAAGGGGCTCTGACATCGACGGCAGTGTTTTTTTCATTGGACAGTCTGAAGCTTGCTCTCTAGGACTGCTGCATGAAGAATAGGTCGAGAGAGGATGCTGCAGAAGCAGGACACCTGTTCAGGCATCAGCACCACATTAAAAATTAAATACAACGTACTTAAGGCCACTGACTGTATGTACCCTTAGAAATGGTTAAAATGGGTGAATTTTAAGTTGCATATATTTTACCCCAATTTGAAAAATTAACATAAACAGGAAACAGGCATTCCCTAAGCACACATTGCTGTTAATACCGTTCCTTCCCATCTCAGACCAACAGGAGCCCCCGGGAGCACCGAGCAGTACAATGTGGGAATGGTCGGCACGCACGGGCTGGAGACTTCTCACGCAGACACTTTCGGCAGCAGTATTTCAAGAGAAGGAACCTTGATGATAAGAGAGGTAAGTTGGTATAAAAACTGTGAAGAGGAAGTGCTTCCTTAAGTGGTATTTATATCAGAGCTTTCACAGAGAATGCTGGCAGCGTGTATTTTCAGCATAGTGAATGGGGGTGGGCAGCCAGAAGAAACACGCGCTTCTAAATGGCTGAGTGATTTCAGTTGTCCACCGCCTTCTTTCCTGTATCCTTCTAAGCTTCCGCAGTGTGACTTAATTACATTAGTCCGAATTCTTCAGTAGGAGCTATGCAAATCAGAGAATAGAATTTGAGCTTGAGGATATAAAACTGGCATACCCAGATGTTTCCTACGGCAGCGAAACGGGAATGCATGGCCTCACTCAGTAGCATCTGAGGCCTTGTTATGCCTCTTTTCCCCATGGCTTTATCCTTGTGGATTGTATGTATAGAAAATGGTTAGAAGTTCCAAGAAACGGTGATATCATCTTATCTGATTAAACCAACATTAAAAGGCTATTGAGCTATTTTTATTTAAAAAAAAAAAAAAGAAATATGCAGATCTACTTAAAAACGTACCTATTGGGGCGCCTGGGTGGCGCAGTCGGTTAAGCGTCCGACTTCAGCCAGGTCACGATCTCGCGGTCCGTGAGTTCGAGCCCCGCGTCAGGCTCTGGGCTGATGGCTCAGAGCCTGGAGCCTGTTTCCGATTCTGTGTCTCCCTCTCTCTCTGCCCCTCCCCCGTTCATGCTCTGTCTCTCTCTGTCCCAAAAATAAATAAACGTTGGAAAAAAAAATTTAAAAAAAAAACAAAAAAAACGTACCTATTGCTTTGGGTGATTTTGGTTTTTTATCTGTATTTTTATTTTTTTAAGCTCATTTACTTATTTCGAGAGAGAGACAGAGAAAGCGAGTGGGGGAGGGGCAGAGAGGGGGAGAGAGAGAATCCCAGGCAAGCTCCGCATTCAGCGTGGAGCCCGACGTAGGGCTCAGACTCACAAACCATGAGATCATGGCCTGAGCCGAAACCAAGTCAGACCCTTAACCGACTGAGCCACCCAGGTACTCCTGATTTTGTGTGTTTAAACTCGAGGAACATCACTTCATTTGAGTGGGAGGCATGTGCTCGCTTCACATGCACTTCCTCACTGCATCTGTGCCAGCCAGAAAGGCCTTGACAAATCAGAATTTGTCTTCTCTTCTTTCACACTTCATCATCACCATGTAAATTTGACAAGTCTCTGCTTGGAAGGAAAACAATAGCTGGTAACATTGGGCAAGAATTACTTGATGTCCCCCCCTGGGTCTGTGTTATCCTCTATAAAATTTTGTAAATAATAGCATATGACTCATAAGATGACCCAAACAACACGAATGTGAACTGTGTGAATCCACTTATATGTGGGTTTTTTTCAACACAGTCCAATACTATAAATCTATTTTCTCCTCCTTATGATTTTCTTAATAACATTTTCTTTTCTCTAGCTTACTTTATTATAAAAACATAGTGTATAATACATATACAAAATATGTGTGAATCGACTGTTTATGTTATTGATGAGGCTTCCAGTCAACAGTGGGCTATTAGTAGTTAAGCTTTTGGGGAGTAAGAAGTTCTACTCAGATTTTCAACTGCACTGGGGGACCATGCCCCTAACCCCTATGTGTTCAAGGGTCAACTGTAATTTATTTCATTTCACTCTCCTTTTACTTGTTATCCCTTCCTACTCTTGCCTCTGAAACAATGCATATCGTCTGTCATTCTACAGCCAGGATAGTTTGGGAAACCATAATAGCAGGCTTTGCTCTCCCAGGAAAGAAAGGAAGTGTAGTTTTGAGATGAATAAGGCCTTTGAAGTAATAATTGGCAGAAGGTCAGTAACTGGAAAAGTAGTTCACAAAGCAACTTGCTAGAATTTCATGATATGGCCCTGCCGAATCTTTGAAGTAGGCTTTGAAGAGCCCTATCCTGTAAGCCTGAAATAAGAAATGGACTTGGCCGCACAAGCTGACATTGTGTAGTGCTGGTATATAAATCTCCCAGTGTGGTGAATGGATAATTCTGATGGCGGTATAGAAGGCTGCTGTCATTCTAACTTGCTGCTTGGAAAACCTGAGGGGAAATGTTTTGAGTGAGTGACTCTCTGACTCTGCTTTCTAATGCAGTTTATAATTTGCTAGAGTCGTTATGACAAAGTCAGTACCTTGAAGAAGATATTGGGAGGCGCATTTTCAGTTCAGTTGCCAGACATATCCAAATGGCTCTGTGTTATTTAAAGCACCCCAGTATTCTGTGACCACAGCCAGTCACTTTGAAAATAGCACTCACCAGTGTCTTCTATGAATTTGATATAATGAGGGCCCCAAAACCTTTTTGTCCCTCAGTTTCTAAATGCCACCTTTCCCAAAGGTGGGCTTTTAACATAACAACCTTGAGTTGGAATCATTAAAAGTACAGGTATCACAAAGGCAAATGCAAATAAAAGTATGCCCCTGACAAAAAAATAAGAAAATAAAATGAAAACTCATAATAGAGCTTAGTTTATAGGGTGCTATAGTTCAGTTCCCCAAGATGAACATCAAAGAGAACTCACTCAAGACAGCATTCTCATGGGAGTGGACAAGATGGTTCTAGAGGAAAATACTGGCTCTACTGCCCACAGTCCTGCCAAGACACACAAATTTGCCCTATCAGTGCACACCCTGGCCCTCTGGTTCTACCTCCCCCTAACCTATGGTCCCAGAGGACATTTCCCTACTCTAGTTCTAGAACAAACCACACCAGCTGTCATCTAGCACATCGTCTATAGGGACCCATCTGTCAGAAGAGCTATTCTCCCTTCCCAAATTCCCCTGTTGCCCATTCTTCACCCAGCAGATTCCTGTGGGTCTGATTCAGCCTTCCTTTACTCCTTGAAGCCTCTCTTGGGACTCCATGGGCCTCTGTCCATAGCACCTTTCCTACTGACCAGCTGGTAATGGGAAGTGATAGGAAAAAGAATCCGCTTAAAACAGGCGTCCACTCCAGCTCCAATCAGCTACGGCCGAGAGCAGAGCCACCTATCACGGCAGCAGCCCAGAGCACCTGGGCTCTCCCAACAGACAGCCCCTGATTTCAGCACTTACAACCTGTGTCACTCGGAGCAAGTCAGCTGTATTCTCTGCACTGCAGTTTTTCCATGTGTAAAGTGAGGATAATGGGAGCTAGCCTGTGGTGCTATTTGAAGGACTGGGGGGAATACCATACCTAAAGGTTGGGCACCGTCCCAGGCACAAGTTGTTACTCAGGGAAATCTTAGTGCCCACCCCCATGGGAACGGTGAGGGTGTGAAGACTGTAGAAATTGTTGGGCTCTGTTACGGAGGTCCTAGAGGGCCAGGCTGTTGTTCATTATCTCTGTATTCCTAGCAAAGTGCCTGGCACACAGAAGGTATTTAATTCAAAGGAGCTGGTTGAATGGACAAAAGGCCGATGACTCAGAGTGGGGAGATTCAGGGGTCGGTCACCACTGGATTCCTTCAAGCTTCTCACTGTCTGGGCCGTTTCCCTCGTTAGCCTCTTCAGGTCTTTGATAACCAGTGCGTCTGCCTCAGCTTTTGGCTCGAGGCAGAATGCTGGGGATAGAATAGAGAGCCCATAAAACTGTAAAGAGGCCATGTGTGATTTATGCTACTGGGAGATTGGGGGGAAATGTTAAAAAGCCTTTCAGTATTTGAACAGAACTTAGAAGAAAGGAAAAGCTGCCCAGTGCACATAAAATAGGAGACAGTGAGATAAATTAGGACTGAACCCTGTAAATGTCATTGAGAAGACAAAATGTTCGATCCTGAGAACAGGCACTAGTACAAGCTGTGGATGCATGAAGACTGTGTGGACAAAATGAATCCAGAAAATGCCCCTCTCCTGGGCAGCTTGCAGGCCAGGAGCATGTTGCCAAGAAATAGAGGGAACCGCAGCTTTACAGTTATTTCTTAAGCTCCCCGGTAACATCCGTTACATGCACCCCTTCAGGAACTTGGGAATCTGTTTCATCTACCCCCAAAATTGCCTCCTTTCACTTCTAGCCAGAAGCAGGTGCAGAGTGGTCATTGTAAGACAAGGACAGGCTCTGGAAGGGGGAAGCCAGGCCAGTGAGCCCAAGCCAGCCAGCCCCAGGGAAGGCAGGGAGTATGTCTACCTGCCTTGATCCTGGCCAATCCCTCCATGTTCAACAAAATGCCTCACACTTAGTAGTCACTCAGGAATGCTGGGTAAATGGATGAAAGAAAGAAAAGGCAAAGAAGGGAATCATTGCTTCATCAGATCTGCTCTAAGAAACCTCAGTGAGCTAGTCGCATAAATGTTAAATCAGAAAGCACAATACTGCCCAGGCCTGCAGTGTGGCTACTGGCTTTTAGGAAGCAGAACTGTCTTTTAATCCTGTATTTCTTCCCTGGGATCTTTGTGAGGAGGCTTTGTTTCGCAGAGCAGTGGTTTCCAAACTTGTTAGGTCATACAATCCTATCAGTAGTAAAAATTTGAGAGCATGCCACTTAATGGCAGTGTATTTATTTATAACTCATGCATTTGTCCTACTTCTCATATTATATATATTACAAAATACCTTGAAAAGACATTAAAAAGGGATGCTATACAAAATAGTTCAAATACTGTTATTGACTATTCCTTGTTAGTCATGACGACTTCCGTTTTTTACTGCAAGGCACCATACTTGCTTGTAAGAGATTCAGTATTCAGATTCAGTAGCAGACACACACCTGTAGCTTCAAATAATCTGTGGTTTATTTCAGTACATTTTTTTTGTAACTCCTGTCCGATCTGGTGAGTTAATCATTGTTTTGACCTCATGACTGACAAAGAGCCCTATGATCTGGGCAGATGGCATCTCTGCGTTTTCTTGGCGTACATGGTATGTGGGTTATTAGTATTATCTCATCCCAGCCTCTGTGTTTCAGCAGTATTTTAGGTCATGTATGTGTCTTCGGGGTTCGCATCATTGTAACCTGGTAATATACCTGCAAATCCAGTCAACGGTGCACCCACAGGCACACACACACACAAATAGTGCAGGGGAGAACTGTGCAAATGCAGACCTCAGGAGCTCAGCCCCTCCGCCTGCCTTCCCATGGGAACTCCCACTTCCTGTGTGACCCTGACTGCCCTCATGCAGAAGCAAAAGGCCGCAGGGTCAGTCCATATACTAAGCGTGAACAAAGTTTAACTTCTTTTTTATTTTCTTAGTAAAATATAAATGTAAGTGTTATCTTCCGCACACCCCAGCAGGTCCGTTTGGGGACTGTGCCTGTGCTGTGTGAGGGGTGACACCACTCGGTGGCCTTCACCCTCCCTCTCTAATCCCTCTCTGATGCTCCCCATGTGTTGTGCCCCCTCAGACGTCTGGAGAGAAGAAGCGGTCTGGCCACAGTGACAGCAATGGCTTTGCCGGCCACATCAACCTCCCAGACCTGGTGCAGCAGAGCCATTCCCCGGCCGGGACACCAACCGAGGGCCTGGGACGCGTCTCCACCCATCCGCAGGAGATGGAGTCCGGGACTGAGGTAGGTGCTGGGCAACAGGCGTGACAGCTCTGTTCTCCTGGGGGTGCGGTGTCAAAACCCTGCTGTCTTCAGGAATAGGGCTTTGTAAGCTCCCTGAGATGTGTTGGTTCGGTTGCTATATAACTATTTACACAAATACTTTAATGGACGAAAATCATGGAAGCTGAGGGGTAAAAAGATCTGATACCATCTGGCCCAATGCCTATTTTTACAAATGACAGTACTGAGGCTCAGAGAGGTTAAGTGACTTGCCCATGGCACACAGCTAGCTGGTGACAGATCTAGGACTAGAACTTGGATTTCCTATCTCCCAGGCCAGTGAGAGAAACTTTAGCCTATAGAGATCCCAAGGCCAACGGTTGAGGTTCATGTTTATATTGATTTAGTCAAACTAGGTTTGACTTAAAATGAGGTTGAAATTCTTTGTTAAATGAAAGATAAAAATCCATAGATAGATAGGCTCTCATCCATCTTCCTAAACTCCAAATTGTGTGGGAAAGGGAGAAATGGGATATTTAGCTTGCCTGTATAGAAACAGTCCCTGGAGACAGCCTGAATAAATACAGTCTGTTAGGCAGTGCTCATAGGTGTAGTTATCCAAGCCCGACCAGTGGATGAGTTCATGGGGCTTGGTCATGTTTCATGAATCACACGGAGGCCCTGAAGGAAATCATGAAGCATATGCCCTGGTGTTTTTGATGCTGTCCACACATTAACTTTTTATGATACACCCTTTGGATTCTACCTCAAGGGAAAAAACAGAGGTGCCTTGGGAGGCCGCATATCCTCTTGTGGCTTCCCACAGTGTGGTCAGGTTTCCTCTGCCTGAACATGTCTAACGGAACCTAGAAGAACCCCATGGGATTGGACTCCGGTTCAAATTCTGCTGCTGCTCCAGCTCTAAGTGGGAATGTTAGTACCTGCCCCACCTCCTTCGCAGACTTCTTCTAAAGATCAAAGGAGAGAATGTATGTGAAAGCTCTTCATTTGGAAGGAGTCTTACCTTGTAGAGGGTGAAATCATTTTAATTTCATAAGGTGGAAGGAAAATCAATTGGATCTTTGCGGTTTCCTCCGTACGTGTTTAGGGGTCCTGAGATGCTTTTATTTTTAAATGGAAACCTGAAAATAAAGCTAGAAAGTGAAAACTCAGTTAAAGACATTTGTCTGAAAGGAGATATTCTGATATTGAATGCAGGTCTGTTTGTGATATTAAGAGGACTTGAGCATAGTAGAAGGAATAGAGATGACAGACAAGATGAGGAAGTGGTTATTGTACCTTCTTTGGCAGAGCTGAAATATGGAATTTCACCAGGTGAAGCCCTGATATTTAGTTCGCTGTTCCCTAGTCGAGTCTGCCTTCATGTCTTTATTGAGATTTATTTTTTTTTTCAACATTTATTTATTTTTTGGGACAGAGAGAGACAGAGCATGAACGGGGGAGGGGCAGAGAGAGAGGGAGACACAGAATCCGAAACAGGCTCCAGGCTCTGAGCCATCAGCCCAGAGCCCGACGCGGGGCTCGAACTCCCGGACCGCGAGATCGTGACCTGGCTGAAGTCGGACGCTTAACCGACTGCGCCACCCAGGCGCCCCGAGATTTATTTTTTAAGCAAGCCCTCTGTGCATTGCCTGCAAATCTAGTATCTTCATGAAGTCCCTAAATAAGGCATGAAAATAGGAGTATCCTTTTAAAGCGACCATTCTGGGAGGGAAAAATATTCAATCCCTGGATGAAATTGTCCCTGAATTAAAGATTTTAAGGCTTCTTGAGCCGACACCAAGCCACCTGCATCACCAGGTCAGCTTACAAGGGCCCAAAGGCTCCAAGAGGGAGATTTTGGTGGACCGGATGTTCAGGATGAAATGCTGCTATGTGGGCATGCTTACTTAGTTTATTGTGTCAGCTTTTCTTAAGACCATTTGGTCAATATGCGATTGTTTGTACTTCAAGGGAGAGAGAAGCTCTGTCATCACGGTCATCTTACCATGTGGTCCAAAATATAATTTGCCCCCAGCAACTCTTGCAATCTGACAATTAATGGAGCCCTGCAAAGGCAGAATGGCCAGTGAGTAGCCAGCACCGGGAGAAGCTGGAGAGAGAGGCACACCTTGACTCCAAGGGTCAGAGTGTGAGCAAGCTAAATAGATTGAAGAATCTGTAACCATTCTAAAGCCCAAGCAAAGTATTCTTGGCATTGTTCATTCCTGTAGTACTTATCTGTTCTTCTTAATCCTCTTGCCTTTCCATTAGTATGGCATGGGGAGCAGCACGAAGGCCTCCTTCACCCCCTTTGTGGACCCCAGAGTTTACCAGACATCTCCCACCGATGAAGATGAAGAGGATGAAGAATCATCAGCCGCGGGTAAGCGAAACTGCCCAGATGTTTTAGAAACAGCTTCGTTTTCCTTCCTGGTGTGACGTGATAAAGAAATGAATTATTGGTTTAGTACTTAAGCCATTTCCTGCTTAGGCCCTGTCTTAAAGGGAGGTTGGTTTTTTTGTTTGTTTGTTTTGTTTTGTTTTTATCATTATTATTTTTGTAGGATTTCTAAAACAAATATCTTTGTCTCCCATTTTTTTTTTCATCTCTTCTATTTTGCTTCTGGTAGGAACCCAGAGGTATCCAGGGGCCCTGGGAAAAGCTGTTCCTCAGAGATCTCCAAACTTACCACATACTTCTCAAAAGCAATTTCTGGGTACAATGCTGTGCACGCAGTAGACACTTAATCAGTGCGCGTTGGGTTGTGTTGAGCTCTAGGTGTGTGCTTCCTACCGCACAGATCTGGCTGATTTAGAGGAGAGCCTTGCTTTCTGGACTTATGCAGCTCACTAATCATCAGGGGAGGCTTAGGCTAGTCTGTCAGTTGATGATATGGAATTTTAAAAAGTAAATCTTTCCTGCCGTGTTCTATGAGATGGGGGTGGTGTGTATGTATTCTCTAAACTACCCAAGTAGTATCTTTAAGTCTGTTTTACTAATGGTTATCCTGCTTCTGTGAATGACTTATACTGTAGTCTACTAAAAAAAAAAAAAAAGTATAAAATGTACATAGTTTCAGAGTTTCTGTGCCTTTCCCATAATGCACACTAAACGAGGAGAAATCATAGTGTTTTGAAGCCCCTTCTCCGTACCTCCACTGGTTGTTTTTTAAGATGCCACTGACTTCTCTGATTCTCTTTCTCAAAGCTCTGTTTACTAGCGAACTTCTTAGGCAAGAACAGGCCAAACTCAACGAAGCAAGAAAGATTTCAGTGGTAAATGTAAACCCAACCAACATTCGACCTCACAGCGACACACCAGAAATCAGAAAATACAAGAAACGATTCAATTCAGAAATACTTTGTGCAGCTCTCTGGGGTAAGTTCTTCTTTTTACCACTCGTTAACACATCGACCCTCAAACATTAAAAACCTCTGGAGCTTACTATCCGAAGAGCAATGGTTGAATCAGGGGTCTCGAGTCCTGACTTGAGACCATCTTGGCCTCAGGAGAAATCAAGAGCAATTTTACATGTAGCAAGAACTGATAGGGTCGCCTGGGTGACCCAGTTGGTTAAGCGTCAGACTCTTGATTTCGACTCAAGTCATGATCTCACAGTTTGTGGGATCGATCCGCATGTGAGGCTCTGCTTGGGATTCTCTCTCTCTCTCTCTCTCTCTCTCTCTCTGTTCCTCTCCCACTCTCGTGCTTGCACACACACTCTCTCTCTCAAAATAAATAAACATGGAAAAAAAAGCTGATAACCTAATGCCCAAGATAACAAGATCAGATTCAGAAATGACCTTGACACATAATAGTGATAGCTAAAGTCGGCTGCTGAACCAGCTACCGTGTACCACACACTATTTGCCCAGCACTGTGTGATGTGTCCCCCATTCTGCCTTGTATGATCTATGCAATACCCTGCAAGGGGAATTAGATATGACCCCTATTCACAGTGGACAAACCAGCCTAGAATGTTTTAGTGAATTGCTGAAGGCTAGTAGTAGCAAGAGAAAACTGGAAAAGGACAACAGATGATGAACCTTCCCTTTTAGTTCAAAACATCAACCTACGGTTCTTATAAAAAATGGTGCACGGGTTTTAGCTGACCTCAAACTCAGTATAGTTGGGATGAAATTCTGTCAAAGTCCTGGTCTGTGTTACTGCAACCATCACATACGGATGAAGGAAGGACATGACCCATCTGTATCCATCTAAAATACTAGGCCTAGTTTGGGGCACCACAATCTTATAAGGACAAAAGCATTTGAGATGTTTGGGGAAGTAGATGAAGCCTGGAAACCATTTCATGGGAGATGTGATAGAGGGAATAAGGCACTGTCCTCTGGAAAAGAGAAGACAAGATGACCATGTTTGATATTGAATAATTTGTGGACAGAATAGACATGTATGTTACTCAAAAAAATACATGTACAAAAAGCAAGAGAAGTCACAGAGTTACCTATTTGTGAATATAGTTCAGTACACAGTGGACCCTCAGTGTGTTGGTGTGTGTGTGTGTGTGTGTGTGTGTGTGTGTGTGTGTGGTGTGGTGTGTTACAGGGGCAGGTGGGAGTTACTTTGTCTACTGATGAATTTTTAGGATGCCAACTATCCAGACAAGACCACTCACCTGCTAGAGCTTTTCTAATAGGGATGATTGCATGGGAGACAGGCTGGGCTAGGTTTAGATACCTGAGTGGTCCCTTACAGCCAATCTTTCTGCAACTCTCAGGCTCTTAACACCTCACTTGCATTGGTTTGTCATTTCCCTGACAGACAGCAGAACCTTGAGGGCATGAGACGTTCGTAAGCTTTTGTGTGAGAAGGAGGAAGGGCTTTTCTTCCAGTGGGGTATGGAAATGGGGCCCTCTGCTGTATGGTGAAGGTGGGCAGGCTAGAGATCACTGCGTGGACAGGGGCGGGGCTGCACCTTGGAGAAGTCTTGAGGTGGGATTTATAGAAAGAGCCCAGAAAGGGATGGGTGTTACAGGAAAGGAATAAAGGTAATGATGCTAGTGTCGCAGCTGTGCCCAGAGCATCTCTTAAGAAGAACTCTATACTAGGTAGTAAATGGCCAGATGTAATGAATGCTGCTACCACTTTATGAAAGAGAAGTAATTTCATTGCCAGAGGGGCAGTGATTTAATTACTGTGGCAGGGCTTCCACTTCTTCACTCCCTCCTGGGGTACCTACTTGCCCATTAGTTTTTATTAACAAGGCACAGTTTCTTAGGTTTTACAGGGACCCCAGATGTTAAAGCAATAAAAAGTCAGTCTTGGGGTGCTTCTTATATTTGCAGGTGTAAACCTCCTGGTGGGAACGGAAAATGGCCTGATGCTTTTGGACCGAAGCGGGCAAGGCAAAGTCTATAATCTGATCAACCGGAGGCGATTTCAGCAGATGGACGTGCTAGAAGGGCTGAATGTCCTGGTGACGATATCAGGTATGTTACTGGGATGTCACCGGAATGACCAAGTCCTCTGAGTCTGCACAGGTAGGAAAGGCCATCTCCTCGGTTCTGAAAAAAACAGCAAGCTCTGCCCTTCCCAGCTAACAGTGACATAAGAAATTATAGCAGGATAGCCAGAGAGATCACTCAGGTTTTGTAACTCCGGAGATACTGACCTCCAAAGGGAAGCCTCACACCTCTGCACGATCTCTGAATCAAGGAGAAGTACCACAAAGGCTGTATGTTTATAGGCCTTTAACCTCTGCCAGGGCTCAGCAAGGATCTTTTGAAGATGTCTGAGCTCCAGTCATTGCTACCTACTCTCAGGTGGAGAATATCAAAATGTAGGCTTCTCAGGGTGGGAAATTTTGTAAGCAGAAATGTCTCTGGTCTCTTTTCTCTCAAGAACTGTTCTAGCTTATATTCCACTGATGCCAGCAAATGCAGCTGGCCCATTGGGTGATTGAGTCTGCAAAGAGATTCAGATGTGGGAATCATTCCTGCTACACTCTGCAGCTTTCTGGTTCCCAAAAAGAACTCAAAAAAATAAAAAAAGCCTACACAGAAGTGAAGTTAAAAATGTAACAAGTTAACCTTTTGACAAGGTTAAAAATGTAACCTCAAGGAGCCTGTATTTATTGAAAGCTCCTTCTGATGATCTTTGAAGAAGTTTAATCAATATCCCTTTTCCCCCTGCCTTCCCATCCCACCCAGTATGAAACCACTGCACCTCTGTGCATTAGAACCACTTGAATGGATGGGCGAAGCCCAGACCAGTGGGGTCAGAATGCCTGGGAGAAGGGCCCAGGTATCAATAGCTTTCATAGTTCCTAAGTTGTTTCTAATGCGCCGCGAAGTTTCAGAACCAGGGCTCTATACTCAGCCATCATTTCACAAAGAGAAGACACAGGGCTACTGGGTTCAACCTTGAATAAAGTTTAACTCTTGAGCTGTATTTCCATTTTGAAAAACTACCTTCACTTGATGCTACAATTCCCTCTTTCTTTTGCCATTCCACAAAAGTTTCATCTCTTTTTATTCTCTCCAAATAAGAGTTAACTGAGTAAATTGTTCTTGTATTATCATTCGAGTTTAATTCAATGTAGTCTTTTGTTCTTGCTAATGGCTTTCTTGACTGCTACACCCGGCAAATCAAATTTAAAACCGTACAACTGTCACTCACCTACCGAAAGTGGAAATGATACCAGAAAGTTCACATTCTGGCTTCATTATGCTGTTAGTGACGTATCCCCGTTCTTAAAAAACGTAACCGTCTCCTCTTATCATGAAGTGTAGATGGGGAAAGTGGAAAACGAAAATAGGAGCAAATGATTCTTGACCTGCCCTCCGATCTGCATTGGCACAGAAAGGAGGAAGCACTGGCCTTTCTGCCCATCCTAGCTGTTGGGATCAATTCTGGGCCTCTGTCTATAAAAAGGAATAGCAACTGCACAGTGACTTCCTTCATTTATGAATGCACTCTCCTGTCAAATCCAGTGTGTAATGCTTCAATACATTTTCTTCTTCTGGAATTCCTGGGCAGCTTAGTCTGTTAAGCGTCTGGCTCTTAATTTCGGCTCCAGTCGTGAATTCAAGGTTCATGAGATCGAACCCAGCATTGAGCTCTGTGCTGATATCACAGAGTCTGCTTGGGATTCTCTCTCTCCCTCTCTCTCTCTCTCTATCTCTCTCTCTTTCTGCCCCTCCCCTACTCATGCACACAGGCTCGCTCGCTCTCTCTCTCAAAATAAATAAATACACTTAAAAAATAAAAATAATAGATAAATAAATTTTGGGGGCGCCTGGGTGGCTCAGTAGGTTGAGCAGTAGACTTAGGCTCAGGTCATGACCTCACAGTTCGTGAATTTGAGCCCTGCGTCGGGCTCACTGCTTTCATCATGGAGCCTGCTTCTGATCCTCTGCCTGCCTCTCTCTCTGCCCCTCCCCCAATTCTCTTTCTTAAAAATAAATATTTTTCTAAAAAGTTAAAAAAATAAATAAATGTTCTTCTTCGTATATATATCACATCTGTAAAATATAAAACATCTTTTGATGCCTAAGAGAAATCAAGGGAAAATAAGTACCCAAGAAGTAGAGCCCACAGGCCTAAATGTCTGATCACTTAGGAAGAGCCTCCCCAAGGCACGTGTTCTTAGCTGGTAATCAGATGATCTCATAGGGTATATTAAATTTTGCTCCTTGTGTACCCCTCAACATTTTTAAGATGTTTTCTTATCACAGAATTCCTTACCCCAGGAGCACTTTACCAACGGGAATGTTGTATTTTCCAAGTACACATCTCATTCTCTCCTATTTTTGTTTAGTAAGTGATCTCAGAATCATAAACGTGTCCAGGGTTATCTTGTGAGCCCAGGTCGCCTTCATTAATTGTTTCTCTTGTCTCTGTATACAATTCTTTTGTTGTTGTTGTTAGGTAAAATAAAACTACCACCAGCTGTCATCTTTAAAGTAATAGAGGAGGCGAATAAGAAGCTCTCCGTTAACATATGTTGTTAGGTTAGAAGGTGAGGGAAAGAAGGTTATGTGCAGTCACACATAAGCATAGTAAAATGTCCAGTTATCAACGCTCCTTCGTGTAATTAGATCTAGAATGTTCGGAACTCTGATCACCTATTCTGTTACACAGTTAGGTCTTGACACTGCCCTTTGCGTTGAGAAGAGAGAGTAAGAGCAGCTTGCTCAGATAAGAAACAACCTGAAGGTAAAGAAAAATTATAAAATGGTTATTTGTCCAAAACACTTGGAGGTGTTTTAATCATAAGTCTTGGCATAGGCAATGCATGACGATGCTGGGGACACTGGTTATTGTGCCTTTACACCATACACAATTGTAAATAAAATAAATGAATTAAATAAAATAGAGATGGGGAAGGACTGAGAGAAAATGCTGTCATAGGGGTGTGAAATTTGAGCTCTGTTATTTCAACAGGAAAAAAGAATAAGCTACGAGTTTACTATCTTTCATGGCTAAGAAACAGAATACTGCACAACGACCCAGAAGTAGAAAAGAAACAAGGCTGGATCACAGTTGGGGACTTGGAAGGCTGCATACATTACAAAGTTGGTAAGTGTCAAGACGTGGACTTGTTTACTCAATCAGAATCATTCCATTTTTTTCCAGTCAGGTATTGATGACGCATTTGTTACCAGTTTAAGATGTTGTTGGAACTTAAGGTATACTTGCATTATTTCCAAAAACATCAGATTGATCAAGTTCAAAGAGTACATTCAGAATAAAGTCCTGTGCTCCAGTTTAAACATTTATGTCCACTCCCTTCCAAATACTCGTTAAAATAACAGTGAAGGAATAAAAATGCCATAAACCCACAAGGACACGGGACCAGAAGAAGAGAGACCAGCAAACAGGAGATATCAGCAGAATCGAACAAGAACAGTTGAATGACGAGGACCTAACCTAGATGACCAGGAAATGCTGAAGTCTACATCTGCAGTGAGGAACAGCATCAACATCAATCCAACCACATAACAGAACCCAGGGAGGCCCAGGGTCTGAGGCCCCAGGTGTATCTGAGATAGAGGTGGAAGGAGGAACTGCAAATAGGATTGTTGGATGGGTGATGACCACAAGTCCTCCGCCACTGCAACAGAGGATGAGAAGTTGCCACAACCAATCTGAACTGTGGAAATACGGCATTGCCAGGAAAGACAGACAGATACACACGCACGCACACACACAGATGCACCCCTTCTAGCCCTGTTTAGCTCCCAAAATGTTGGCGACCATACTTATATTCCCAAGCAAGAGTCTGAAAGATTTGTTTTTGGAGAAACTAAAGAGCCGGAAAGAAAAGATGTTCAGGTACTAACATTTGAAGTGCCATGAAAAAGCTTGCTATCTAACCACCCACACATGAAGCCTGGCAGTGAGTAAGCCCACTACCTGACGTGGGGACATCCGCTAACAGGAAGGAAAATTAAACAGAAAGAAAGGACGGTAGACAAAACAAAGATAATGAGGAGTGAAAAAAATTTTAAAGCAACTTTAATAACCTCGGGGAAATTAGAAAAACTCTTTCCAGAACAGAAGCATAAGGATCATTAAACAGAACATTGGAGCAGGGTCAGGGGAGGTCATTCAGAGACCAAGAAACAATCTTAGAGATTAAAATATGCTGGTAGGGATAAAAAGTGTAAGAAGTGTATCGGAAGATAAAGATGAGAGGTCTCCTAGAAAGCAGGACATAAAGAACTGGCAAGAAAAGGTAAGAAAGTAAAAGCATCAATCCAAGTGCCTCAAAATCTAAGTAACATGAGTTTTAAGAAAAAGAAAAGAAATGGAAAGGGAGGGAAGTATCAAAAAAGAAAGATAAGAAAATTTCTAGAATAAGGACTTGAAATCCCAAATTTAAAAGATTCACATAAGGGCACCTGGGTGGCTCAGTTGGTTAACCATCTGCCTTCAGCTCAGATCATGATCTCACAGTTTGTGAGTTCAAGCCCCACGTCAGGCTGTGTGCTGACAGCTCAGAGCCTGGAGCCTGATTCAGATTCTGTGTCTCCCTCTCTCTCTGCCTCTCCCCTGCTCAAGCAACTCACTCTCTCTCTTGCTCTCTCTCTCTCTCTCCCTCTCTCTCTCAGAATTAAATAAACATTAAAAAAAAATTTTTTAAAGGATTCACTGAATACCTGGTATAGTGAATGAAAAAAAAATATTCACAGGAAGATATATTAACATGGCATTTTAGTACCCAGGAAATGAGGAGGTCCTTAAAGCTTCCAGATTATAATTAAAAAATAAATAGCTTATATATAATAGGCACAGAATTAGGTGACTTGAGATTTAGCAGCAATACTAGAAGATGGAACAAAGCCTTCAACTAGTATTTTATAAACCATCTGTATTAAATAAGGTTCTCCAGAGAAACAGAACTAATAGGATACACACGTACACACACGTGTATATATATCTATATATATATATAGAGAGAGAGAGAGAGAGGTATATAAACATATATACACAATTATGTATGTGTATATATATGTGTATGTGTGTGTGTGTATATATGTGTATGTGTGTGTGTGTGTATATATATATATATATATATACATATATATATAGACAGAGAGAGAGAGAGAGAGAGAGAGAGAGAGGTTTATTATAAGAAATTGCCTCACACAATTATGGAGGCTGGGAAGTCCCAAGATCTGTAGTCAGCAATCTGGAGACCCAGGAGAGCCAGTGTTTAAATCCCAATCTGAAGTCTGGAAAAGACCAGTTTCCCAACTCAATAGTCAGACAGGTGTCCTGTCACTCAATCTTTTTATTCTATTGAGGTCTGTAATTGATTGGATGAGGCGCATCCATATTGGGAGAGCAGCCTGGTTTACTCAGTGTGCCCACTCAGATGTTAATATGATTCAGAAAAACCCTCACAGACACACTCAGAACAATGTTTGGCCAAATATCCGGGTACTTTGTGGCCAGTCAGGTTGACACATAGAACTTAACCACCCTGTCATCAAACTACCAGTCAATTTTGAATGTTGCATGAAGACACCTTCAGATGTGCAGGTTCTCCAAACATTTATGTTCCATACCCTATTTCTCAGGAAACTACTGACCGATGCGTTCCACCAAAATAAAGGAATAAACCTAGGAATCCAGGTAAAAGGTGAAGACAATACCCAGAATGAGGGGGAAAGAAATTTAGATGACAACTCTACAGAGGCCTAGAGAGAAGTCAGTCCAAGCAGAGTAGAACAAGGAGCATTCCAAAAGGGATGCCTCCAGGAAAAATAAAATGTGACTAATAGATTCCCTGCCATGTTTGACTGTACCGAAGGCCTTTACAGTACCAGCAGAAAGTCTACGTGGTCAGAGATAGATACATAGACAATAAGGAAGTGGGAAAAAATGACGGAAAACCAAAAAGGAAATGTGGTTGTGGCATACTATTATGTGTTAGCTGTGAACAATAATAATTTCAACATGGGATCTTGATTTCACCAAAAATTTAAAATATAACTGTATCACAGGTGTGGGTGAGGAAGAAATGTGTGTGTTTGAGAGAGAGAAGTGCAGAGAGGAGACAGTTCTAATCAGCTAAATCCTTTCCATACTCTCAAGTCGATAGATAATATCTATAATGAAAAAAATCAGTAAAATTATAAACATGTTATTTAGAAATATGGAAATAAGTGGCTGAAGAAGTAGTTGAAAGTATATTAAAGACAGAATATGTAGACAGAAGGGAGAGCTCAGAGAGCAAGAATTAAGTTCGTTGCCCTGGGCTGTCCAGTTTCTTTAGGACACAAGTATTCTGTTCATCCGGGTATTCAATAAAGTAAATAACTGCTGAGAGTACTGTGTTAGCCTATTCAGGTTGCTACCGCAGAATACCATGAACAATAAGAATCTATTTCTCAAATTCTGGAGTCTGGGAAGTCCAAGAGCAAGGTGCTGGTAGACTCAGGGTCTGGTGAGGGCCTGCTTCCTCATTCATAGACAGCTGTCTTTTCGCCACAACCTCATGTAGTGTCTGGAGAGAGGGATCTTTCTAGGGCCTTTTTTATAAAGGCACTCATCACTTATAAATTCCTAATAATTGGAATTCAAATTTGAATAATAAGCAAATGGCACACTTTATGTCTCTACCCACTTGCTAATTTTTCTACCATTTGGCCATACCAGCTCTCAGCATCTTCCGTGTGGGTGACTATGAAAGCCAGGCAAGGGAACAGGAAGGCTATTAGGCAGATTCTTCTTACAATGAGTAATTCACATCTAGACCTAGTGATTAAAGAGAGTCCTAAGCCTTCAGATGAAGAGCTTTCAGTGTAAAGCCAAAGACCCCAAGCATCTGCAGACCGAGTACTTTAAAGAAAGTTCAGGGGCACCTGGGTGGCTCAGTTGGTTGAGTGTCCGACTTCAGCTCAGGTCATGATCTCGCAGTTCATGAGTTCGAGTCCCACATGAGGCTCTGTGCTGACAGCTTGCTCAGAGCCTGGAGCCTGCTTCAGATTCTGTGTCTCCCCCTCTCTCTGCCCCTCCCATGCTTAGGCTCACTCGCTAGCTCTCTCTCTCTCTCTCTCTCTCTCTCAATAATAAATAAATGCTAAAAAAAAATTTTTTTTAAAGAAAAAAATAAAGAAAGTTCAACCTGTATCTATGAGCAGATCTCACACCAAGAGCATCACCCTCAATTATAATGTATACTCCCATATCGTGGCTTACGCAGTCAGTAATGCAAAAACCTGAATAAGTTGATATACTCTTTTAATTCATAGTTTTTCTATTACAGTTAAATATGAAAGGATTAAATTCCTAGTGATTGCCTTAAAGAATGCTGTGGAGATATATGCTTGGGCTCCAAAACCGTATCATAAGTTCATGGCATTTAAGGTAAGTGGGCATGTGATTATCTAAAGAAGGGATTTTTTAGATTTTGGGTTCCTACCAGTTAACAAAGTGATCTGTCTCACACATCGACCAGTTCCAATTTTTCTATATATAATAAACCCCTTTTAAAAGTATAGGAACTCTTATATAGATTTATTATTCCAAAAGCAAAGACTAAGCACCAATCAATGCTATAAAGTTAGTCAAATTAAAATTAACTGGGAGGTGGGGGGATAGATGAAAGGGGAAAAAATTGGGGTGTGCCCTCCCTCATTTCAGGTCTATAAATCATCATCTCCTAGGGACATTTTGTATGGGATGGTTACTGAGCAAAGCATTAGTTGTGATATTAGGCAATGAACTTCATTATTAAGCCACCTAACTAGGGTGCTCTCTGATATGTCATCTGAAAAAGGCAGACCAATGGCAGCACCAAATCTCAAGGATGAACCATGTCTCCAAATCTTCTCATCCTTATAAGCCTTTTGGGGTAAAATCCCTAAAACTCACATAATGAGCATATATCCCCAATGTTACCGGACTTCTCTGAAATGAATACTGAATGTGGTTGCATACAAATGGCTTGGTTTCTCTGCATTCTCCTTTTTCGTTTTTGACCTTATCTGAGTCTGTACCCACCATGGTTGGATCAATCTTCATGACACTCAGCAAGGGTGTGACGAGGATATGCTAGCGTCGTGGACCCCAGCTCGTGAAAGCTGACCCCCCCCCCCAGATGCTGGAAGGACCAGTACTTGCTAGCACTCTGGTGTTTACAGAGCTGCAGAGTCTATCCACAGCCCACGTGAATTAATCTTCTGCTCCTTGTCTCTGTCTGCCTGTGTCTCTCACTTTCTTTATAGCACATTGGCCCTCACTTTTTCTCCCCATCCTTGTGACTGTTGTCTCCCGTTGACCCTTTATGTACTCTTTCTTGCCACTTATGCCATGTAAGGGCAGAAGCTGCCTTGGAAACATTAGGAGGCGCCCTTTGGGGAAGAATCACCCCACTCCTGTCCTGTTCCGTTAGTGCAAGGGGCTCGTTTGCGAGGTGCTCAGGAAGGCAGATACATCAAAGGAAATAGGAAGGAAATACAAAGGAAATACATCAATAGGAAATAAGTATAATGACCCACTTTCATGGAGAGAAATTTTTGGAATGTATTAAGTTAGTAATAACACTTAAGGGATAACTCCTAACTAAGCCAGAGCAATGCTGCTGTTCTGCCAAAATCTCTGTCCGTGAACGCTTTTCAGTCAAAGTTCCCAATCCCAGTCAGGTTGGGAAGTTACTGCTGTCGGTTTACCAGCCAAAATGCCACCTGTGGCACCCAGCCCGTAAGGAGGCCAGTGCAAAGACAAGCACTGGAGCAGGGAGGACTGGAGCTGGCAGGAGATGAGGCCAGGGCCTCCCCTAGTCAGAGACTCCTTTAGCAAAAGATGAAGAAAGGGCGCTCCGTTTGGGTGGCGATGGCCATATAGCTAAGGCACTTGTGGTTTCACAAAGTCTCTCCCAGATACCAAGACCCAATAAAGGTCGGCTGTGCAGGAATAATGGCAAAAGAAAACAGAGGAAATCTTGACAGCTTGTTGGGGCTTGGGCTCTGGATTCAAACACATGGGACCTTGATAAACTTGGCTGGAGCTCTCTTTTTTCCTTCCTAGTTAAGCCCAACTAGCCAACGTAAGTCATGAGTCTTATGATGTTCCAGCCTCCCCTGCCTTCTCTATTGCCCAAATCTAAGTCTCAGATGTCAACAGTAAGTTTAAAGAAGGTGCCAGTCTGATGCTCACTCACTCACTGAGGGAAAACCAGAACCAGAGCATGCCCGTTAATCCTCAACAGACTAGGCACAGAGCTGCCCAGCTGTCTACCCCAGGCTATCTCTGAAAGGGTAACGGCCATGCCTGGGCCCGGCTGTTCCATGGGGAGAAAAGGAGTCAGAGAGAAGTGACTGTACCTTCCCCAGAGGGAAAAGACCAGAAATAAACAGGAAGAAACAGCAGCACCCAGATGCCAAGTTTTATTTATTTTTTTTCCAACGTTTATTTATTTTTGGGACAGAGAGAGACAGAGCATGAACAGGGGAGGGGCAGAGAGAGAGGGAGACACAGAATCGGAAACAGGCTCCAGGCTCTGAGCCATCAGCCCAGAGCCTGACGCGGGGCTCGAACTCACGGACCGCGAGATCGTGACCTGGCTGAAGTCGGACACTTAACCGACTGCGCCACCCAGGCGCCCCTTTTTTTTTTTTTTTCCAAGTTTTAAAGTATAATGACACTATCAGAACTGACAACGGTAAACCACTTCTCTGCCCTAGAGGACAAGGGGTAGAGAAGGGGGCACAAAAGGATGCTAGACCCTTCCTCCTAGAGCCAGAATATGAATAGACCTAAAGCTGAAAGAGAGATCTCCGGGACTTTCAGTGTAAGAAAATCAGATATTAACTTCCACCAGGCTGTGGCTAAAAGAAAAAAATTTTCAGATAACCTCTTTGAACGATGTGGACACTCATGGGGTGCTTTTTAAAGTCTTTTGCAGATCTCCAGCACAAGCCACTGCTTGTTGATCTCACGGTAGAAGAAGGTCAAAGATTAAAGGTTATTTTTGGTTCACACACTGGTTTCCATGTAATTGATGTTGATTCAGGAAACTCTTATGATATCTACATCCCATCTCATGTAAGTTCCTGGGAGCCCGCTGTCCAGGTTCTGTGTACAACAACGTGCATGTGGAAAGAGATTTGCTCTTGCAAATTCTTAGCGGAAGTCCTGCTAATTTTTACTAATCGGTTAAGCAGATGGACTTTTAGCCTCCACTAAATAGACAATGCTTTTAATACACAAAACATGTGAATTTAATTTTTGTGACTGCTTGAAACTGAGTAACACATAACAGCAATTCTTTGCCATGTATTAGACATGTCGTCTCGTTGGACTTTAGATGAAAATGCATATGATATTTTTCCTTCAGGGGCATAAATTGTGTTTTTGAAGCAAAAGTGTAGTAGATGAGTTCCTATTTTCAGTTTTTGAAGGGAGATGGGCTCATTTTACATGGGAAGTCAGTGGCCCCTTTGTGCTGTCTTTGTTGCTCTCTTCAACTTGTGGGGAGCGTCGTATAGAAGAATCAGACACTGGAGTGCATCCCCAGCATTAGCATGTACTCATTGTGCAGTAATGGGCACATTAGACAGTCCCTCCAAGCCTTGACTTCCATATCTGTAAAACGGGGATTAAAGGACCTATTCCAGAGGGTTATCGTCAGCATTAAATGAGGCAATACCTCTAAGGTACTTGCCATAAACCCCTGCAAATTGTAGTATTAATATTGCAATACTGACACATTGCCCCAAACCTGACTTTTAAACAGAAATGCCGCACATGGTTCCACTTATTAGGATTGGTGCGGTGCAAGTTGTGTTTCCTGTATGTAATCCCAAGGCTAACGTACCGTAGACGCTGTCAGGAAAGTCTGAGGCCTGATCTGTTGCTGATTGGTATTTTGAGAGTTTAAAGACTTTACTGCAAAGAAGCACAACAATTGAAAAAAGTTGTTTCAGTGCCTAACGCGCACACACTGCCTCACACACACGCACGCAGCATTCATTGCTGTGTCAGAGCTTTTCACACAGGTATGTGCAAACGCACACAGGACTCACGGCTCATGTTCTCAGTGAGGTGACTGGGGCCTCACTGTGAGCATCCTTGATCCTCTCATCTACCCAGCGAGGCAACTACTGGACCACCATGACATCTCGGCTCAGGGAAATTTTTTTTCTAAACAAGCCATTAATTTGCATTATGTAGGCACCCAGAAAAACATTCTGTGTTGTATGCTCATAGCCTATTTGTAGGCGTCTGTTTGGGTCCCACCCTTTGACCCCATTTAGGCTGTTCCCATGAGATTCAGTTGATTTTCATTCCCCTCATCTTTTTTAGAAGTAGATGGAAAACACATGAGTTTTAATGTCCATGAGACAGGAGCTCAAATCCCAATTCTACCACCAAATATCAGTGCAACTACGATCAATTTACATAACCCCTCTGACATGCAGGTGCCTCATCCAAAAAGATATCTACCACGGGGAGTTGTCCTAAGGACTAGGAATTATGCATGTAAAGAGCCCAGTGCTTGGCACATAGTAGGTGTTCCATAGTTGTAGTCGTTTGTTTTAGGAACAAGTGAATTGGATTCTCAACCTAGTGCCTAAGTTTGTATTTGTATGCTGGGGTATCTGACAGATCAGTGGTTAAATTAAGCAAAGCAGGGCAAAATGCCAGTCTCTAGAATGAAAATGGGGGTGGGGAGGGATCCTTTTGTACAATTCTTAGAGATTAATAGTCAAGGTGCTGTCTTATTTTTTAAAAAGAATAATACCTGGCCTTTCTTTGTCTCCTAGATTCAGGGCAATATCACTCCTCATGCCATTGTCATCTTGCCTAAAACAGATGGAATGGAAATGCTTGTTTGCTATGAGGATGAGGGGGTGTATGTAAACACCTATGGCCGGATAACTAAGGATGTGGTGCTCCAATGGGGAGAAATGCCCACGTCTGTGGGTAGGTTAACCATTCCTTATCTCCTTCAGCAGTTACACCCCCCAAATGAAACGAAAGTCAAGAAATGTGAAACAACCATTTGATCCCACAAAAAAAAAAAAAAAAAAAAAAAGTCTGTGAATAACACTTGTAAGACTTGCTTTGTCTGTTTATCTCAAGTCGTTTGTCATTTTTGTGGTTAAGATGTGAACAGATGCTGTGAGTTATTGCCCATCTAATGTTTTTAATGCAGTTTTGGAAATTCCTTTTGACAGCCTACATTCATTCCAATCAGATAATGGGCTGGGGCGAGAAAGCTATTGAGATCCGGTCAGTGGAAACAGGACATTTGGATGGAGTATTTATGCATAAGCGAGCTCAAAGGTTAAAGTTTCTATGTGAAAGAAATGATAAGGTAAATCCGTTTCAACATTTGCATTAGTGTTTGCATTTTAAGAGACCACCAGGTACCTGTGAAACCTTCATTTTCCTTTATACTGATTTGAATCACATCTGTGTTAAACAATCAATATTATCTTCAAATGGCATTATTTGGTTTGACTCACGTGAACCCTCAAAATATAGTATTCACATATTAAAAAAGACATTAAAACTTTCAAAAATTTCTTGTAAACCCGTAGTAACTTTTGTGGCCCACAGGCCTTGCGATGACTCAGCAGACATCCCAAATTCTCCCAAGCACTTGGGAGGCTCGGCCCATCGTTAATCATTCACACAGGGTCAGCTTCACACTCCACTTTTAGACTTGTCACAAAGTCACCATGGGAACCTAACCCATCACATTATTTCCACTTTTAAATGTAAAACATTGGACATATAGAAATATAAACTTTCAAAAATTGTCACCCATTCCTTAACAAATGCACCATCACAAACTCAACTAGTGCCATGTCCTGTGTCATTCCAGCCATGTTTCTTCCAAAGTGTCATAGGGGGACTGTTTTGCAGTGAAATTGGTGGGGTCCGTCTGGCATGATCAGTGGCCTCAGAAGGGTATTCTTCGGCAACACTGCTTCTCCTTTGCCCTCCGTGTAGGCCAACCCAGAGTGTTTAGTGTTAGTAGCTAAGCTGTGCTCATTTGTGAATTCATCCTTTGTGACTATGGCCAACTTAGAAATGCTGTCCCCCAAACAGCAGGAATAAACACTTGTAGTAAAGAATGTGATGGGTTGAACAGATGTACATCTCTTGGTCCACCCTAGCACACCAGAGGCTGGATTGGTCTTAGTCCAACCCTGGGAGTGTGAGTCTAGACTATATCCAACCCTGGCCAACTACTCTGACCTGGTGTGGTCTGGATAGACAGTAGCTGTGGGTGGCACGGATGGTTCCAGGGCCTTACCAGAGTATGCCAGGAAGCAGACCTGACCCCTGGCAAAACTCCAGCCCAATCCAGTCTCTGGGGATCATAAGACTAGGAGTGATCTGGGCATAGACCACCACACTCCAGTTCATAGAAGACCCACCCCAGCAAGCCGATTTCAAGCCATGCCCATGCCCTCAGGAGCCGGCTGAGACCACACCAGTATCTGGGGCCCAAGGTTTAGAGCCGAGGGTGCACACAACCTGGAGAGAACAGCAGCCCTTTCTTTCCCCCATTGTGTTTCCATGGGTCCTCTGTACTTCCACATTTTGATTCATTGACCCTAACGGTAGCTGTACTTACATACGTAGCTTTAGCTGAATGCTAAGCATTTCCACAGAACTTTGTAAGAAGTCGTTGTTGGGAGAGACAACATTCTTCTGAAGGAGTTGTGGAAATGAGGTAGCAGAGACTTTACACTAGTGACAAAAGTAAATGCCTTGGACCAAAGTTTGGCGTTGGCTGATTGAAGGGCTAGGCCACAGCCCAGAATAGTATTTAGCTCGGGCAGTGGTTCACTGACATTCAAGCAAGCAATAACCCAAATTTTGCTCACTTCTCTTAGTTGTTTGATAAAATGATTTCACAGACCCAGACCTAATGGACTGTGGTTCTATTAATGCCATTATCTCCTTTGGCCTAGGATATGCCTGCACCAGCTGACAAGCCAAGAGTTAACTTTTGGCATACCAAATGAATAGGCATTAAACACCTTATCCTATCTGATGACATAATTTTTTTTGTAACTTTAAAAATTGAGAACTGAGGTTGTATAGTAGTCAGTAGACCCCAAAATTCCGCCCCCCCCCCCACTGGCTTTGGGAATTTGAAAAGATTCTCTTCAGTCCCAAAGTCTGCCCTCTTGTCAGTATGGGAGAAAGCCTCTATGGCTTTCCAGAAATTAACAAAATACCTGTTGTGTCCTAGGCCAGAAGTCTAGCACATTCCCTAGCACGAAACTCCCTTTTAAAACATAAGCATCCTAGGGGATGTTGCAAGTCAATATATAGCCCCTCCCATGTTCCCAAAGGCCAATACCACAATAAGTAATAGTAACAATCATAGTAATAAAGTCAGGAGTGTTTACAGAGGATGCACTGTATTAAAAGGCACTTTATAAACACCAGCCATTGAGTCTTAAGAGCTGACACATGACAAGGATAGGACATGTGAGAGAAAATGGATGGACGGTTGAAGAAAAGAGGAAAAGAAACCATGCAGTTGAACTAACTTCTTTTTAATTTCAAACAGGTATTTTTTGCATCCGTGCGATCTGGAGGAAGTAGCCAAGTGTTTTTCATGACCCTCAACAGAAATTCCATGATGAACTGGTAACAGAAGAGCACTTGGCACTTATCTTCATGGCGTTATTTCTAATTAAAAAGAACATAACTCATGTGGACTTATGCCAGTCTAGAGGCAGAATCAGAAGGCTTGGTTGAACATCCCGCTTTCCCCTTTTCCTCTCTCTCCGCCCGTCCCAGTACAGCCCACAGTCCATCTTTCAGTGTTGCAGCCTGGTTGAGAAGGAGAGAAAAAGGTGGCAGGAATTTCCAGGAGATCCCCAAGAATGCTGCGTTGTCTGTGGACAGAGATGGACCATGGTGCCCTTCGGAGTTAGGGATAGAAACAAATATTGTGTGCTCTTATGATTCAGCTGTGTTATGGTGGATTTTGAGTTTTGTTTTGTTTTGTTTTGTTACCTTTTTTCTTTACCCCCTTACTTTGTAAGAATGGGGAGAGAATGCATACCGAGAAAACGAGTCTGTTTTTTAATTCCTTCTGCCTGCTAGCTTTAAGTATACGAGATGTTGTAAAATTTCCAATTTCAAATGGTGAGAGACAGCACAATAAATGTACCTTATCTCCTTACACTGAAGGCCATAATTGCATAGTGGGGTAATTTTAGAACTCTTTTGCCTTCACCAACCCAAAAGGTTGCTTTTTGATAGCAACTGGCTAATGAATTTTTAAGAGAAGAAAAATACTAGTTTTCTCCTCTTTGGGGAAATAGATTTTAAATGGCTAAACTACTAGCCTTAGACTAATAAAATCAACTACCATTTTTGTGAGTCTGACAGGCCCTGTTTTTATATGGCCCTGTACAGAATGGAATGTGTGGAACGGGATAGTAGTGCCACTGAGTCGAGTTGGCTCTAACGATTGAGGGACTCCGTAACACAACTTTCCCTCAGCTATTATGCAACAGATCAGGGCAAAAGATGGGATGACTGTTGGGGTCAGACAAAAAGAGCTTCTGGGAAACAAGCTAAAAAAATGTGTATATATATATATATATATATATGTATATACACACATATATATATATATATACACATTCTTTTTCTTTAATGCATAAAGCCTCCAGCTAAGAGGTCACTTGCTTTGGGCTTCATTAGGAAGGGAGACTTTGTCGAGTTCTTTCTGGGAATTGGGGAGTGAATGACATCCAAGCCCTGGTCATTCCCAGCTTTCTCCTGAGGGTGCCACTTTCTGAAAATGAAAACTATGACTGAAAAAAAATAATAACAATAAATGTTTCTGAGCTGCCTGTGTTCTCTCTGGGTTGGTGAGAGAAGGGACAAGACTACCAAGCCTGCCTGAGACACAGCGGGCACCATTGGTTCAGAGTTGATAGAACTTAAAAACAAGGCTTTGGCCAAATTTCTGAGACCCTAATCATTTTACCTTCCTCCAAATTACCCAACATACGGTAAACAACATTTGTGCAGAGATATGTATGTATTTAGTTCAGGTTGACTTGTGTCCTTATAAACTCTTACTCGGATGATTTGAACTTTTACGTGACTGTCTGGGGTTTTTTTTTTCCAAAGCTACAAGCATGGCCGCCTGTGGTATCGAGGTGTTGCAAAACGATCTGTGTTGCGCTTCCTGTTTTAACCTACCTCGTTTTGTTTGTTTTGTTTCACTGTTCATCACAGCAGTGTTATCTCCAGGAGACATATAGAGAGCTCAACTGGCAATCTCAGGTGTATTTAATATTTTTTTAAACAAAACAGTAGTTGACCAAATTATTCTTCTGGAAAAATTAAAAAAAAAAAAATCCAACAACAACAAAAACAAATGTGGCTTATTTCTGAAGAAAACAATTAATGTAAACAGATTTTCTTTTTAAAGTCTGTGATCCTACTGATTTTGCCTAAATACATTAGCAGCTGATGTACTATTAATGAGAACGAAATACACGTTAGGAAAATGGAGCCATCTCAATCTGGTGGTTTAGGCAAACAGGGTAAGGGCATGGGGAATTATTCCAGTTTCTGAAGTAAATGATTCTTCCCCTCCTGTAAAGGTGGTTATCATTTGCATTTATTCTAAACAGGTAACACACAAGAATGGAATTGAGGATTATCTTCAGGTGATCACCAAGATGTCCTCACCATGGTCCCTTTAGCTCTCAAAAGCAATGAAATCCCCCCTGTTCTCATTTTTACTGCTGTGGTTCTGCTGCTGAACAATCTATCTTCACAAATTCCACGCAACAAATTCAGCAATAACTTTGTGGATTGAATTTAACAACTACTGTAATTGGATGCCAACGTGGACAAAGTATATTGATTTGGGTCTCACCCCCAAATGCGATTGCCACCAGCTCTTTATATTGCTGCTGTGGTATTTTGAACCAGAAGCTTCTTTAAATTATGTTGCAAACTGATCTTTGTTTTTATGTTATGTTTTGTTTTTATTTCTAAGTGATGAGTTTGAAACACACAGCTTTAAATGATTTTTTTATTGTGGGATTTTGGGTACAGTTAAGAAATAAAAGGGAATCATTGTGTTTAAACATAAGGTAGTTTGTGAATGTATTTTTTAAAATCTAGAGTCATTGAAACAAAAACTCATAAAACAATATTAATGCAGTCTTGTTTACAGTATGTACAGTGACATAACATAGAACATGAGCTTTTTCTGGTGCCAACAACAATAAAACACAGACGTTAAACATCAAGCCATGCCTTCTATATTTTTGTACAAATATTTTACACTGAGTACAAGGCAAAACTAAATTTAAAAGGTCCCCTACCAAAGCTGTGTTGCTTAACAGACACCTAAATCACTCCTGGAAGCTTTTATCTTCAAGAATATATTTTCTTCCATCAGGACAGGCCATAGCCCTGACCCGTGGAGACCCAGTGTGCCATGCGGAGTATTTCAGACTATTGTTCTCATGGCTCATAATAATCCTCAGCTTTCTGGTTTGTTTTCTTCCCCCCGCCCCCCCCACCTCCTATTTTGCCCCATTTTTCCCCCTTTCTTTTTTCTTTTTTTTGGGGGGGGGTGGATTGTGCTTTTCATTCATGTTAATTCCATTTTAATAAAAATTTCTTTACTTTTGAAACCAGTTAGTTTCCGTTTTTAGTTTTAGTTCTTCCCATAGGGGATTTTGTCAGTAGAATTGGCTAATTTTATTTTTATTTTACAAAGAGAAATTGAGCCTTCCCCCCAAAGTAAGTTTCACTAGATCTTTTTGGTTCTTGTTGCTCTAAATTGATAATCATGCATAAATCCACTGGGCCTGCCCGTGTCATAGTCTTGACCCAGGTTCTAGCAGGTGGCCATCATTCTAGGGTGCCAGTCCAGGGAACAGTAGTATGGATTCCTGCTTCCAGTGGGTGGTAGAAACAGATGACCACTAGGGTCTCAGTTCAAATGGTGAGAGTCCTCCCAAGGCCAGTTGCACTCCGACCACTGCCAGTGCACACGAGATAAATGAAGACAGCTTGCACCAAGTTCCACATAAAATTTATGGTTCTGTTTATATACACCTCATGATTTTTCTTGAAGACTTTTAAACGATGCTTCAAGACCCAGAGCTGCTTCACCAGTATAGATGATGGCACAGATGAAATCCCACAAGGCCACTTGGACAGTAATTCCATTTTTCTTAACACAATGGCATCACTTTCTAAGGTACACTTCTTACATACTTGGCATCCAGCACATGTTTTTCCAAAGCATCTTCGTTCCTGGTTGTCAAGACCTACTAACACTTTTCTGTCTGCTCTTGTGACTCATCGGTAATTGGTGTCTCTGGTCCCTCATGTGCAGTAGATTAGAAAGAGATGCGAGATTCAGGTCAGAGCCCTTTTGGTTTTGTCCGTTGCCAAAGAAGTGCCTGAAGCCTGACCTCCCATTCCATGAAGTTAAAAAAAATTTTTTTTCTCTACTATTATGTGTACCAGTTCCCGTCACTGTATTCTTGAAATGTGAAAGAGCTCTTTGTGTTACTAGTGTGTGCTGTCTTTGAAAGTCTGCTTGAACAGGCATCACTTGCATTTGTGCTGATTGCTTTAAGATGGAAGATGTGCCACATTATTTTTAGGAAAGAAAATAAAACTCTTTAACCCAATGGAGGAGAACAGAATATCCACAATACACTGATAACAATCCTGAATCATCTTATCAAGCCCCTGATATTCCAAAATCCTTTTCTGAAAGTATGTTCTGGCCATCTCAACAGTTTCTGTGAATTATTAATTACCTTTTAATTCATGCCTCACAAATTTCAATCTTACCAAATCAAACAAAGCACAACAAACCAATCTATAACTGGCTTCTCCCTTGAAACTACGTAGTTACAACATAAAACCCAAAAGTCTAAATGTGATTTCACTTACCAGCCAATATTTCTCAAATGCCACTACATTTTGGCTCTGATCAGCATAGTGGCATCAGCAATCCAAAGGTGTGCTGTGCTTTCATGGGTCTCAAAACGGTATAAACTGAGCTCTTTTCAGAAGCCTCAGCAAAGAAGAAAATCCCATAAGAACTTTCAGGTTCAAAACCGACCATTTGTACATTTCTACTAAGCATTTTCTAGTGTTGTTTGATTTTCATGCCGTCTCATTCTTGTGGGAATTTTTCCACAGACGACTAGAATATTTTTTAAAAATTGCAGTGTTAAACAGTATGAGACCATAACTCTCTGCTGTGAACTTTATCCTTCCAGGCCTGCCATTTCAGGAAGTGCCCGAATGCACCAAAACTAGAATCCCCATAAAAGCGTTTTTTGAAACAAAAATCCCTGGATATGTTTTTGAGACATTTTAAATCTGGATCAAAATCTTAGACTCTGTGTCCGTGAGGCCAAACATTTGGATGAAGACTGAAAACACACACACACACACAGTTAAAAATAGAAATGTTCTAAAGATTACAGATTTGGGGCTTTGTGTAGATACCTTCAAACTAACTCACCTTGCATGACAGGGTTTGGTTTCGATGGTTTGTGTTTATCATCACCACGTTGCATTGTGCTATTGAGGCAGAGCAAAGGCTCGTGGAGAGGTGAGTCTTCACTTGCCAGCAATGGT